CCGCCTCTCTCGCGCCCCGCCCGCTGACCCCACCTGCCCCCACCCCACCCGCGTGGGCGCGGCGCCGCTGTGAGAGTGCGGCGCCCCCCATGAGGCTCTTGGCCGTGTGGCATGTTGCTGCACCGACTCCCAGGAAGAAACGAAGCACCCCCGTCCCCCACTCCCCAATGCTCCCCGCGGCCCCAGCCTGGCGCCTGCCGCGCGGGATCGAATGATCCGCAAAGCAACGTACCCTCGGAAGAGGCGGCGGCTTGACATATATGGCACCCTCAAAAGTTTCCCCGTTGTGCCCATGCGCCACGCGCGCAGCACCCCCCTTTACCCTGTCGGAACAAGCGCGCGCCCCGAGCCTCCTCGCCGCCCCACTCCCGCGGGCGGAGGGAGCCTGGTCGCGCGCGCGCGCCGGCCGCCGGCGCCCCCGCCCTGTCTGCTTGTCGCTCTGTCGGTGTTCTTTGAGGCGCATCATTTTGTGGCACCCGTCAGCCCTCCTGCATTGTTTCAGCCTCGATCCGCTGGGGGTCTGCGAAAGGGGAGCGCCTGCGATCCGCGGGCCGCGAGCCGGCGGCGCGGCCCCCATTGCCGCGCCGCCGGCCCCCCTCTTTCCCGCTCTCCTTGGTTCCACGCCGGGGGGCACCCACGCCCCCCGGCAGGGGCGGCCCCAGCGCCGCCCCGCGGCGCCACACACACTAGTCTCGAGGGGTGGGGGGGTTGGGACCTTGTATTATTGAAGAACCCCCGTGATCGGGCTCTCGGCTTGGGGCAGGCACGCTTTTGACTTCCCAGTGGCTCCTGGCACTCGGCCTCTCCTGGTGTCGCAGCGGCAGTTCGGGCCTGCCTCCTTGCCTGCGGTGTTCCTTCCGGATCCGTCCAGTGGTGAAGGTTGCAGCTTCGTGGCAGGCGCCGCCGCGCCCGCGAGGCACCTCGCATTGCGCCCCTCAACTCTGTTTGCAGAAGGGGGCGCATGCGGTACAGCCTCTGCGGCAGCTCGGCGCGCCCTGCGCTCCGCCGCCCCCCACTGCGCGCCGCCTGCGCGCGCCGCCGCCATCCACAGCCCCCGCGCCCCTGGCCCCTGTTACCCCGCATCCCGCCACAACAAATCGGCGGGCATGCCCCCC